ATACTTGCAACTGCATTCAAGTGTATGAAGGTGTCCCTTGCATTTGTGTTGCGTGCAAGTCATTTTAGAAGCTTATAGTTTCACAGTTTTGAGAAAGCAGAGCAGATGTAGAGACAGTAATTTTGTCCTCAGATTTCACATTTGACGGCATTAAACTGTGTCAAACGTAAGGACAGCAGACCAAAATGTCTCGCTGGACAGAGGCACCAGCACATCTCCTGACCCCCAATATGGACAAGGGTGTAAGAAAATTGATGGACCGATTTAATATATATATATATATATATATATATATCTGTCCATCCACCTTCTTATACAATATATATATATATATATATATATATATATATATATTAATTACATAATGTATATAATATAATTAATGTATTAATTGTATATTATCTAATATATATGTATGTGTATATATATATATATCTGTCCATCCACCTTCTTACACAATATATATATATATATATATTACATAATGTATATAATATAATTAATGTATTAATTGTATATTATCTAATATATATGTATGTATATATATATATATATATATATATATATATATATATGTGTGTGTGTGTGTGTGTATAATATAAAATGTTTGTAGAATAGTGCAGAATAATGACAAAACTGGAATTGTGACAAACTAGCTATTTTCTTTAGTTATAGTGTTTTGTAGTTCTTGTACTTAAGTTTTATTTGACATTGTGAGATGTATGTTATTTTGTATTAAAATAATTAGATACGTGAAGGTGTATTTTTTTTTTACAAGGAAAAACCAGCGTAACCTGGTGAAAACCCAATTGGTGAAGACTCCAAATATAACGACAGTTGTCAATATTTTCAGAGTTCACCTTTGTGTTATTTGAGATATCAAATTACATTGCATGAACATTTTTTTAAAATGAAAAATATATTATCTTGTGAAAACCGAGACTGTAGATGTAAAGGCCAGGCACAAATCTTGCATAAAAGATCTAAAAAAAAAAAAGTATGTTTTGCTTAACAATGCTAGAGTTTGTGTGTGTTTGTGGTCTGTAATCTACGAGCTGGTAGAAGATCCTCCATGTTTTCAAAAAGGATCTGCTTCCTAAAAGGTTTTGTGATGACTGAAAAGAACCTGTAAATTGGATTTTTTGGGGGTGTATTAGGATTCTTGCTTCTTAAATATCTCAAGACGGCACGCGTGAAAGGACGACCAGCTTGTGATGTTGCAGCCTCCCACACCGCTTCAATAGAGCCAAACTGCTTTTTCACATCTTTGTAGATCTCGTTAACAAAATGTTTAATTTTTTTGCTGTGTATGCTGGCAGCAAAGTCAGGCAATCTATCTACCTTCTCCCCTGAGACTGAAGACAAAATATCTGTCATCTCTTCGAACTCCAGGGGTCCACCGTTTTCTTTCAAACAGTCTAAAACTGCACTCATTACAAAACATGCCATAGCCTCCTCCAGCTCTTTAGTTTGTTCTATGGTTTCAGTTGTCTCCGGATATTTCACGCTAGTTTGGATTTTATCATCGACATGTGTAGCAATTTTCACTGATGACGTAAACCTATGAGCAGAGGACGTCTTGGTAGATGATCCTGGGTGGACCAGAACCAAGGAATCAGTGTGAGATTTGAAAGAAATGTGGTCTTCTTTATCCAAATCAGTGTTGTCGGTGAATGAACTTCCAATGAATTGCATGGAGTCCCATTCATCTTCTAGCCGTCTTTTGTTTAATGAAGGACATAGTTGTCCAACCATGTCATTGATCTCCGAGAGCACATTGGATACTCTGTCGCTGTGAGTTATGTGATCTGTTTCTTCATGTCTTATCCAAAGAAAGATGTTCTGGAAAAAAGTTCCTACACTGTCTTCTACTCTGACGTAGATAATTTCAGGGGAAATTTCAAACTCTCCAGAAATGTCTCTTATCTTTTTGCAAGAGAGGACACAATCTGAAAGGTATTTTCCTTTTGGAGGAACAGGAATTTTATGATAATGCTTCTTCATGATATGAACATATAATTTATCTGTCAGATCCCTCTTAAACATTTTGATCCTGTCTTGTAGATTTGGGTTTTCCATACATTCTGCACACAGGCTGACAATTTCGGGTTTAACAGCCTGAAAATCCAATTTAGGAAAGTAATCTGTCTCGGTGTAGTACAGTGGTTTTGGGCTTTCCTCATCTGATGAAACTTCAGGAATGCATCCGGGCAAAAGGGAGAACAATACTCTCTTTAATCTATGTGGCTTATGTTTTAGTTTGACAAGTTTTGTGTCACTTGAATCCATCAGTTTCTCCAGAGAAGACACCATGTTGGTGAACTGCTGCTCAACAAACTTGGAATATTCTGGTTTGCTGATTATTTCTTGTTTTCCAACTGGATCAGTTTTGAGATTTGACGAATAGAAGTCTTTGATATAACCAGCAATCTTTTTTAAGTTAAAATGTGGTACACATGGACAAGTGTTCTCTGTCTGTCCAACTGGACCGTGAGACTTACAGTAATGAAGGTCCTCTAAAATAGTTTGGCAAATTTCTTCTGTGACTTCATCTGTTTTGAAAGGATCTATTGCTGGCAAAGCGTCTGCAACATTGTCAGAGGCTTTGGCATTGCATGAATCATGTGTATATTTCTCTATTATTTCAGAAATATTCTCACAAATGGAGGGCAGAGAAATGTGAGATTTTATTCTCTGAGAAACGCCTTTTTCTGAAACATTATGTTGTGCAACCTCTGGTTTTGGTGAAGGCACACCTGAGGCCCACTTACTTGTGAATTCTGTCCAGTATCTTTCAACACATTTTGTTCTAGCTCTGTTCAGATGTTTTTGGAGACATTCAACTGTATTGGAAACCATCTTGCTAAAATTTTTCAGGTTAGAAAAGCAGCCACTCACATATACAGCAGGTTCCACTGGATAATCAGGGGCCTTCTGAATGGCATTTGCAACATCCGTTATTTTTCGCGAGACCTCCTCTTCCATCAAAGAGTTTAACTCTATACCACTCCTACAGACTTCTGGTGATACCTGCAGAACGGTGGCAATTTCATTTGAAATCAAGCTGGTCAAATGCACACTGATCGTTTTTAATGGCACTTCACTCTTCACATAGGACGAGGTCGCCATATTCTGTTCAAACACTGGAGCAAGGATTTTCAGTGAATTTTCCACAGATTGCTTATAAATGTTTACAACTATGTCAGCCATAGTGCTTGTTATATGCGAATCCCTTATACCTTGTGAAAGCAAAGTCCACTGTGCAGGTGACAATGTGTTCAAGCTAGGCAATAAGATGTCCTCCAAGTTGTCAATTGAGACATTGATATCACTCTGCGACTGGTCGTTTGACTCTGCCATTTTCCAATTTTGCTTTCTGTAAGAAACTATGTTCTGCTCACCACAACCTCTCTGACTTAAAAACTGCTGACTTTTGTGCTGTTTTACGTCACAATCCATTATGACGAAGCTTTACCCAGCCTAACATTGCTTAAGTTTGTTCCTCGAGGGAAAAGCTAGTGAAAGACCGTAGCCTCGGCTGTCACGTGGTCTACCTATCTCTGTAGCCATAGAAACCCACCGGAAGTCTTCAAAATACAATGCCTACATTAGCTATGACTTGAGGTTGTTTTTGAACATTCAATGTGTTATTCTAGATTGTTAACCTGTAAACAGTTCTTTATGTTTCGAAATTAAATGAACAATAAATAAATAAATAAAAATTAACGAACTTATGTTAGCCTACCACCTAAAGTTCTCCATCTTATGCTCCAGCTGCCATTTTCTCCCACCAAGCTCTGAACACCTGAGCTAGTTAGCTAGGAGGGTTTTGTGGAAGTGACGTCGCCGGTGTCGCTTTAACTAATTGATTTTTCTTATAATTGATAATGATGCCAGTACCACGGACAGCACCAGCACATGTCAGGATCACAGTGAACTGGAAAGCTACCAACAGTGCCATGTACAGGTAATCAGGTTTTCCATTCTACTACCTTAAACTAAAACGTTTTTTTGGTGTTGGGGGTGGATTTTATGTAACATAGATCAACATATAGTAGTGTAGCATTTTGAAGTAAAATGAAAATTATATATAGCTTCCAAAATAATTAAGAAATGTTAATTATTTTGCATTCAGCTCTACATACTCTGATGCCCCTCAAAAACATCCAGTGTCTTCAGAAGTCCCCTAATAAGTAAACATAGTACACCAAAGTGTAATTTAAACAGAATTTATATGCATCTGTTTCTGGCCTACTATGTTAGAGAACAAAAGTGAACTAAAACTTAACTCTTTAAAGCTTGATTTGCCTTGCACGAATTGCCAACTCAGCCAGCAGCTCATGCACAGACAATCTGCTAAGACAAGCGCAGCAGTTTGCTGCTGACTGAATACGGATGAAGCAGAGGGATTCTCAGATTTGGTTAAAGACTGAAAGTTGGTGTACAGACCATATTTTATTAGTTTTTTTGTATTAAGGCAAAACCCTTCGAGAATAAATACTTGCACCTGCATTCCTAAGTATGTATTGTTCATGAACTGTTTCTGTGCATTTTTCTTGTGTGGAAGTTGTTTTAGATGCAGTGAGTGTTTAATATCCATGCAGTCAAAGGAGGCTGAAAGAAACAAGAGCGGTATATTGAAATGCACCAATGATGCCTTCTCATCATTTCTGAAGGCTTTCAAAAAATATTTTACTTGTGTTGTGTAAGTCTTTTAAGGAAGTGAAAGTGTAAAACAGTTTCTATTACACATTTTCATGTCTTAGAGAGGAGATTGCACTGAAATGATAGGAGAGCTTTAACTATAAAGTCTCTTATATCCACATGTCTGCAGTTTCATTATCCTCACATGTGAACACTAAAGCATAAAGCATAAGTAAGAATCTATAATGCTTTTTCTGAAAGGTATGTTAGCTGTTTTGCTCAGAGAAAGACTGAAATGAAGAAGTTTGTAGAAGATACTGGTTTAAAAAAAAAAAAGAAGCGAGCCGCCCCGCGCATGCGCGCCAGGGAACAGTTACCATAGCGTTTCTGCGACCTGCTGAGTGAGTTGATTTAACTTCTCGTTGCTCGTCCTTCACTAAACAAGGGCATGAAACATTTCTCCTGAATTCAGACAGTTAAAAAAAAAAAAAAAAAAAAAAAAAACATTTCTAGCTGATGCTGTGTGATTTCACACTATTTGACAGTAAGCCATTTATGTGACGCACCTGCACTGCCGAAAAAACACTTATGCGGTGGAAATCTCCGTTTGGGTTTGGAAAGAAATGACTGTTTATTGTGGGTTTCCCATGAAAGAGGTGAGTAATACATTTTGGTTTCAATTGAAGAAACAATTACCTGTTCTGTTGACTTTGGAGGTTGTTTGTGTTTCAAACACTAATGTCAAACAAAGAGGGAGGAAAAACCTCCACACAATGTGAAGACGATAAAAAGTAAAAATATCTGGTTGGGATATTTATGTATGATAGTATATAGGACATTATAGTTTAAAACTGGGATTTTGAAGTAAAACCACGTGCGAAATTTGAAAGGGGGATGTTGATCCTTGGTAGACTATTTTCCTCTTTTGGTCAGCTGTTTCCTGAGGACTTTCTTCAAGTATCCTGCTAAATACGTGCAGGATGGATTCTGTTACTTCCGTAAATGGATGAATTTACTTTTTTATATATCTTAAATGCAGACTACGTTTAGTTCTCGATGTGAACAAACTGATAAAGATATTTTGACAAGAAAATAAGGCTGCGATGTACCAAATGACTCCTCGTAAATCAGTTTTGGAATACCATTTTACTTTTTACAGCCTTTTGCTTTACTATTAAAGCTACCTGCCAGACCTTTCTGTAAAATCATTCAAATTTCCTTTACATATAGTGTGTCACCCATAGAACAGCAGCTTATCTGTTTTGTTACTATATTGTAAAATAATCAAGCTAACAATCTGGCACACATTGAAACCTCTGGTCACATCACAAAAGGCATGCCCAGACTTTGGGCATGTGTTTTTATGTCTTTACCATGATTTAGATTAAATTAATTTATTAACGTTGTATATGTGCCCAATTTCAGAATACTACATGGATATTATGCAAATCTGGAAATGATAAACTGTGAAAGTGGCTTACTAAGATGACCAAGGCAGACTGGAATGCCATTGTCTAATAATCAGGAACATAGTTGCAACTAAGTAAAAGTGCAAATAACGTAATCTTTAAATCCTAAGGACTGCTGGTGTGGATAAAGCCTAGAGATCCACCTAGAAATATACTGATGACTGGAATTGGCAGAATTTCTCTTTGGTTGGCTGCTCCAACAAGGGCATGGTCTCTAGAAATCCTATCTTTTTCCAGTCAATTAACACATTTTATTAAGTGATGCCAGGCTCTTCTTGCAGCACTCAATGGACACAGTTACTGAGCGATGAAGTTCCAAAGTTAGCTTTTTGTACTGTATGTATAAAGTGTTTATACAAAGGCACAGAGAAAGCGATTAAAAGAAAATTATTTAAATGGAAGCTGTTTTCTGTGACAAGATGGAGACTTAAAACATAAAACAGGAAGACTGAAAATAGCACGACAAATGAAGCTGGAATCTTTGTCACTCTGTTAAAGGTTAGCTGACCTGTGTGATGTTTACACAGGTGGCTTTGCTCTGAAATGTTGGAAGCTCTTCCTTTTGGGAACACTTGACATTTTGGTGCTTCTCCTTCCTATATACCAATCGAGCCAATTGGCTGGAACCGTTTGCCTCTTATGATGTGACAATCCTAAAAGCACAGCAGAAATGTTTATTGTTGCTTAAAATAAAAAAATGTAAAAATCTGAAATTTTACTTTCAATGTTCATATTGTGCATATTGTTTGCTAAAGATATTTACATTTTTTAAATTGAGTTATTCTTCCCATTATTTTTCTTGCCATATAAGCTAAATATAGACTGGTCTGTGCTCCATTTTCGTAGTTGTGAAATGTACCGGTCTGAGCAGCACTCCGTTGGTCACCAGTTGAACAGTTGCCCTCATTATCAGCAGCTCATTTTCCTAACTCATTTCCCCAGCAAATGTTCCTACACTCTAACAGGTGGAGAACGTGCGTATATAGTCTGCCCTTATTCTCCTCCGTCACTGTCCAGATGAACTGCTTCGGTCGCAGGTTTAGACGCACAGCTCCCACTCATGGCAGCAGCAAAAGTGAGCTGGTCCCCTTCAGGACCCCAAGGATCAACGGATGGTCGTGGCCCCTTCAGCCCCTTCAAGTGATCGGGTGGGTGGTGTACATCTACCTCGCCGTAGTCTCCTTTGGGATCTTCATCCCCCTCCTGCCTTGGCCATGGAATGCCATGAGCTATGCTGTATCCTTAAAGCTGTCGCTGCAGCTGTGAGTCTCTTTTAATATTTGAATAATCAACAAACGTTGGACTCGGCTAAGAGTTTGTTTGGGCTGCTATGGAAAAACAAAACAAGGGTTTTGTTGTGTAGCCTGCTTGTATGGCCTCCAGTCATACAACACATTACTCTGTCTCCTTTTCTGTGCTCCTTGTCAAACTGGATCAGCACGTTCAGTGGTCTTTTTGTTACTTGATGAACACTGCATGATGTCAACACACTAGATCATTTTACTCGAGTGTCTGAAACCAAAGAACAGCGGATCTTCACAGATATTTTTTTTTTCCCCCAAATATAAAGTGTGCTGTTATTTGTTCATTTTTTTTAAAGCTGTATCTAACTTTGCAAGCTCAGACTTAAAAATAACTCCAAACGCTTGCATTTAGTCTTAATGGCTGTAATGTATAATCGATGAAAAAACTGTTCCAAACAAACACATCCTGTCTATTTCTCCCACCTTGTGCCATTTCTCTCGTGTCTCCCTCCTGTAGAAATATACTCCATAAATTCATGGTGGACTTCAGAATTTAATATTTTTGAAACTTTGTGGATTTTGATGTCTTGCATATTCTGCTGCACTTCTCAGACATCGCTGCTATCTTCCGTAACTGTTATTTTCTCAGATTTCTGGCTCATCATTTTTGCTACACTTTTTCACTAACATTGCTACTGTGACTATAGATCCAGCAGATCCGACCGTTCGGGCCAAAAAGAACTATTCCTCTCCTCTGCCTCTTTTTGACAAGGCAAAACAAGCACATGTCATCCAGGACCTTCACTGTTACCTATGTGATGTCAAGGTGTATGTATCCCAGTCAGCAGCATCTAACGTGATTCAACATTATTGATGTCATATATTTACATTTCTGTTGCCGTTCGTTATTGCAAATAGATATTTAATCTTATACAAAATCTATTAGTAAATCATCAGTATTTTTAGAATTGATATTTAGTTAGCAAATAGTGCTAACTGATAGCTAAGTCTATGACATTTAGCTATTAGTCTGCTGTAGATTTTGTCTAGGTAATTTCTCATACTTTATCAGCTTTTAAATATGTACTGTTTGTGTATTGGTCTAAAAATAAGCTCTTTAGTTTAGTTTTCTGCTATTACGGTTATTAGTTGACAGCCACTGGTCACTAACTAGTTTATTAGTGAAAACTAATTGATTGAACTGTATTTAAGTAGATGGCCCTGACCTTTAGTAGCTTTCATAAATGTCTTGCATTTGTGTTTTTTATATATACATGTACCATTGTTTGTGGTTGTAACGTGACATAATAAGGAAACGTTTAAGGAGTATACCGTTGCACAACATTGTGTGTTTGATTCTGTTTTCTGATGTTTGTGCTGTTTTTGGACAAATGTATCCTTCAGTTTTTCTCAGTACGTTTCACTCATTCTGCAGACGGACTCCAACTCAACCATCTTGGACTGTAGCTAGCAACAGTAAATCTCTGAACTCATCCAGGACCAGCAGCATGGGCCGGTTCTGGACTTCTGTTTGCCATTTGCAGTCCAGGACAGTCGAGTTTGGAGACCTTTAGTAGGAAAATAAATTCACTGGTGAGACAAAAGTTAAAATGCAGGAGTGAAGGCACTAGACAGAGAAACTTAAGCATTCAAATTGAAATCCCTGCACACTGGATAATAACTTTCACTTCAGAAAGTATTAAATGAATTATAATAAGCGAAAGTAATTGTCTTCTAGTGGCCCCAAAGTGAAACATTGTGGAATTTGCAACAAATGTGTGGAAGGCTTTGATCATCATTGCAAATGGCTGAACACTTGTGTGGGTCAGAGGAACTACTGGTAAGTTCACGATTTGGATAAAATAAAGCCAGTCGTGCGTCATAAGCAAACTCTCAGTTCTTGCTACTTTCAGGTTCTTCTTTGTGGCCCTAATTTCAGCCATCCTCGCAGTCTTCATGCTCACTGTTGTCATTTTGTTCATATTTGTCCAACATTACCTGGATCCGCACATTTTACGGACTGCACCACAGTTTGGGAGTGAGTTTGGCGTCTTTCATGATGTTAACGGCATGATTTTAAAAATGTTGCTGTAACTTCTCTTTTCCTTCTTCTTTTTAAAGCAATGCTGGGGAATACAACGTGGCTGGTGTTCCTGCCATTAGCTCCTGTAAAGATGAGTTCAGCTGGTCTCCTTACATTAGCCTTCGTAACGGTTCTGCTGTGCGTCGTCTGCATGTTGCTGTTCTGTCACTTGCTGGGATTTCACCTTTACCTGTGTAAGTGAAGTGGTCCTTTCTTTTTATCTCTTCTTCCTCTCCCTGTCAAGAACCCTCACTGTTTCATCCTCCGCCTGTTTTCTCACTGGTTTCCCAGTTTACAAAGGCATAAGCACATATGATCACGTAAAGAGCAAGCGAGAGAAACAAGACAGAAGACAAAAGACTGAATCTAAAAGTGCAAGCGCCTGCTCTTCAAAATCTTATACAGGCTCTCAAAAGGTAGGGACTTTATTTTCTGCTAATTATTTGTGTTCAGACCTTCATGTAAATAAATCTCTTTTGTTTTATAGAACCGAGATGCATCAAATAATTGTGAGCAAACGTTACCACAGAGTCCAAGGTAATGATCCATCTGAGCACCTTAAAGAACCATCAGATGGTTTTTACAGAGATCAGTAATGTTTTAACTTTCCTACAGTTTCTTCAGATTTGCCAACACAAATCAACTTTCCAGCAGACTGTCAGACTCTATATGTACAGAGGTAACAGTACTGACTCACTTCTACTTTCTGGAGAAAAAAAAAAGAAAAGTCCATGTATACTTTAAGAAATTCAGCTGTGTTGCATTAATATTCTTCTTCTTTTTCTTAGCTGGAAAACTTTAAGAAGTCTGCAGAAAAAGAGAATAGTTTCAATTATGGGACAGAAAATCCAACACAGAATGAAACAAGTATACTTTTTTAATATACACACTTACATTGACTGTATATGCACAGTGCCTTGCAAAAAATATTCATGGACATAGCTTAAAAATAGCATTACAACCACAAACCTCAATATAATTGATCATATTTGTGATCTCAGACCAACAAATCTGAGCAGTTATGTGCCTGCCTCATTAGTTATGTGCCTGCCTCATCAGTTATGTGCCTCATCAGTTATGTGCCTGCCTCATCAGTTATGTGCCTGCCTCATTAGTTATGTGCCTGCCTCAAAGACCTTCTTTGAATATCATTTAGCTCCATTTTCCTTCACAGCAACTCTTGCTATCCCTACTGTCTGTGTTAAAAGAAAAACCATCACCAGAGTATGATGCTGCCACCACCGTGTTTCAGCTCTCCTGCTGTGTTCTTTGGTCTTCCTGATTTCTCAGAAACCTCTGAGGCCTTCACAGAACAGCTGGATTTGTAGTGAAAATAAATTACATTCTGGTCGACTCTGTTGACCAATCAGTTGTCTTTTGAGGGTGGTTGGTTGCATTACACTGAATTAAGGGTAGCAGAGTAAAGAGATGTGAATACAACTGCAAGGCACTGTGTTTTCCCATTAAGCACTGATGCAAAATTAATTAAATATCTATGCCATTTCTTTTTCTATTTGCTAAGTGTGAAGGTTAATTCTATATTAAGCACAATATTGTAGAAAAAAAATTTTTTCTACATTTTCTTACTACATTTTTTTCTCTCTTTGTCATTAAGGGCCGATATCAATGAGCGTCATCATGAGTCCGAAGCCTGACAGACATGAGGAAGATCAGGGAACCAGTGAAAAGTTCACTCCTGAGGCACAGGACCCTCTGGGCTGCTCAGTTATGGCTCGGGATCCTACATCTCAGTGACCGTCTGAAAAGAGATGGGAGCTGATGCCATCAGGAACAAGTTGCTGCTTGGGTCAGAATTATTGGTACATTAACACTGTAACCCTAAATTGATAGTTATTTTCAGAAATAATTGAAACGTGTTTGATTTAGTGTAATCACGGTAGATAAATAGATGCAGACATTGTTCGGCTTTGCACACATCACAATGGTTTGATATTTGAACTTCTCGTATTTTGTATCAATCTTCTTATGTCGTTTTGGTCTAAGGCAGATTTGGGAGATATTTATGTTGGTATTAAGGACTGGAATATTTTTAATCAGTTAAGTTCCTCACTTCACATTCAGTCACTTGATCAATTATTTAAGAACTTCTTTAGCTGAAGCCCAAGCCACTCAGTCCTGAAGAAGTTCTAAATCTTCAAATGCTAGTTGATTATTGGTTAAAGTTTTTGGAAGCAGGAGTCTTACATTTTTATATCTGTGGGCAGATGTCTCTTGTAGCCCTTCTGGTTCTGTGTATGCAGCTCAGGCTATCAACCCAAACCATCAATCCAAATTTCTCCAGCAGTTTCTTTTTTCTTCCATCATAAACACTAAACCCATCTGCACAATAAAATTGAAATCTAAATGTTTATCTTGTAATCTCTTAGCCCGCTGTTAGTTTGAGGAACAGCGAAATAAGATATCTTCTGCTTGTTTTGTGTCATTTTTTTTTAATGACAGTTCAATTTTGCACAAAGTTAGTTGAATTGTTCCTTTTCTGAATGTTTTCAAACACAAAGGGTTACATTTTAGGGATACCAATAATTCTTCCCTACTTTGAAAATATGCTTCATGAAACTGAAGCACCACATTTATTTCTCTGTATGTCGATGAAGAGTGTTTTGGAGCTGAAACCACAGTTGCTAAACAGATTGGATGTGGGGGAGAGGGGTTGTTTTGTTTTATTGTTTAATTTCTCAAAGGATATTTTGTATGATTTAACGTCTATCTATTTTTATTTCTCGCATTGTAATTTTTTTTTCCCTCAAGTTTTTCTTAAAATATTTAAAGCTTTGTTTGTACAGAGATTAAAGTTCTGATACTGTAACTTTGCTTTTATTACACACTCTTATTTAATTAAATTTTTTTTTTTAGCTATTTTTACCCCTGATGTGTGCTAATTGTTTGTCTGGTACACCTGAATTTCCCCGCTGATGGCTTAGACAGGACAGCCTCTATTTTGTTTTATCGAAATCCACATGCACATCTGCGCGTTGACCACACGGAGGCGCGTTTGAATCAGATTGAACAGCCAATTATGTCATCCGTGATTACAGTCTGCTCGATCTGCTTTCATCATGATCAACCATGCCACCGTTCTGAAGTGTTTTCACCACTTCCTGCTGCATGCATTTAAGATATGCATCTGATGTGAGGAAAGGAAAGAAAAAAACTGGAGATGCTTCACCATAAGGAGTGCAGGGATTACATAACCTCCATCCATGTCCAGCACATCATACTCTGATTGCGTAATAACCTCAGCGCACTGGACATCAAGAAAGCAAGGTTCAGAGGGCAAGTCTGTTAAGAGAAATGCTTCAGCCAATAGAAGAAATAGATGATGAAATATAAAGGCAGTCGCTGAGGAAAATTCCCTTTGGTCACCCACAGTTCAGAAATTAAATGAACTCCAACGAGGGTTCTGATAAATACTAAATTACTGCTGTGTGCCTACTGCTCTGTTAGCTTATTAGCAGAAATAAATGTAAATATAACTTGAATAAAGCTGTCTTTGACGTCCTCCTCCATTCATGTGTACGAGCGCTGCTCCGCTGTTTACCGTAGCAGCACAATTTCAACAACAACACGGAGGAAGGCGGAAAACGGCTCCTCGCGCACGGTGGCAGCCAATCAGCGGCCTGGTTTCTCTTCAGCATCTCGCAGGGGATTGAACCGTCGGGCAGATTTGAGAGCACGCAGCGGGGGAGGAAGGAGATCTGCGAGGAGGGCTCCCGATCGACGCGCAATATTATGATTTTCTGAAATCGACAGGGAGCGCTGAAGGATTACGTCATTGGGTGATCGAAACGGTACGATTAATTAAAACTTGTACTAATGCGTCTAGTTTTGGCTTACATGATTCATGCACGAATGCGAGTACAGCTGATTGCAGAGTCCTGCATGTCTCTTTTGACTCTGATTTTTAATTAGCCCTTTAAAGCTGCCATGTCATCTCGGTACTTTTTTTTTTTTTTTTGGGATTGCCAAGCTTCTATATGTGGCCCCACAATAACAAACGGATCACGTGGACTCTGTGTGAATCTGACATTTGCACATTTATGTAACATGTTTCTTTCTGAAAACGCGCTCATATGCTCTTCAGTCTGCAGAAGCTGCGGCCATATTCAGTAATGTAAACATGATGAGCTTACTGCCACAGTGAAGGGTCCTCTAGTAAACATTATTTACGTTTCTGAATGATACAGGGGCTTGTGTGCCGTAGCCTTTACATCAAGCTGCTGTTTTGTGTAGGTGGTTATATAATTATCCTTGAAAAAAAAAAGTTCCCCTCCCTCTTATATTAGCTTCCCGAAGAATGGAGGACAGGATGTTCTTGTGTTTATAGGGACCCCTGGTAAAAGTGTGCAAACAGCCTTTAAAACATACCCATCTTTTATAGCGGTATCATGAGCTCACTACAAAAATGTAGGAAAGTCTATTGTTTAGGCATAACTGTTTTCATAGAAATCCTTCGAGGCACAATTCCTGGTGCTCTTCTTAATATTTCATACAATTAAACAGCATCTAATCTTCTAAAACATTGTGCAAGTTTTAAGCATCATGAGAGAGAAGAATCTTTGACCGTCTCTTTAAATCCAACTCAATCCTGAGTTCTTGCTTAACCTCTCTTCTCTTTCACTAATGGTCTTTGGTGCATTCCCATGTGGATTTGTTTTTACGTTTTGAATCATTAATCCTGCAGGAAAAATGCAATAATCAGACAGTTTTATTTAAAATCTATAGTATTCCAAGTGACACCTGATATCAAACAACTAAAAAGGTTCCTCACACCTTTTTTTTTTTTAACAGGCCCACAGGATCACAAATCCTTCACTGTGCTCCACAGCAGACATGAGATGCCTCACACATTCAACCTAAGTTTTGCATTAATCCCGCTTGGGAAGTTTGTTGCTGAAAAGTTCAATCTTGTTCTCATCTGACCAAAGTATATTGACATCCTTGTATAGCTTGGCAAATTTTTGCTTATTTTTGCAATAGTACCACAGAAGAAACTTTTTTTTTCTGGAATGCCTCCTTAGAAGCCTAATAAGTAGATCTAAAGGGTTTTATGGAGACACCGGGTCCCCAAAGATTCCACTTTTTTTTTTTTTTTTCCATATTTCACTGTGGAAACAAAAATTGTGACCAACCCCGTTTGTCACAGTTCAAGCTGTCAAACGTTCTCATTTATACATACGAACAGAGAAGACATTCCACTTTCTGATTGATCACACATACAGTACCTGAGTGGCAGGTTCTCTTGTCCTTCCTAGTTTGAAGAGTGGCTATGAGCAATGAGCCTCTGTGTCACATCATATTTACATTTCATGGAAACAGGATGATGATGTTTATTACTGTTGTTGCCTCATTCAGGACTGACTAAATGCTGCGGGCAGCTTGGTTCGGACCGTAGCTGATTCTTCTTAAATATCTGCGCTGTTTACGGACAGCTGCAAACATCATAGACATGTTTGCAGCTATCTGTAAACATATCAGCTGTGTAACTCAGCATAGTGCAGATTGCGCTCTATATGTAATTGCCGGAAGCATTAATTGAAATGGGATGTAAAGAGTATGGAAAAATAACTGGTGGTGTTTGTGGAAAAAAATTATTTTCGATGTTGATTTTTTTTATTTCTTCACCAGAGACATCAAAATGAAAAGGTTGAATTCATAAGATTGTGATACTTCATTAAAAGATTTATTTATTTTAAGACTTTCTTCTCCTTTTTACCAGGGGAGTGCAATAAACGTGTCCACCGCCATACTGTGATCACATCATTATACTGCAAAACTGTTTGACAGCTAATTAATGGCAGTCCATTAATAGCTCATTGATCACATTTGTAACCAGATTTGGTAAAAAGTCTGTTTTCTTCTTACTGCTTGCCTCTGCTGCCATATTCTCCCCAAAGGTTGAACTGGGTTTGCCTGAAATAAAGACATGGCGACTTGAGTTTGTCCCAGATTTCAGCACAGCTTAACATTGTGCTGGTTCAAGAGCCTCTGGGCTCTGTCACAAGCAGTTAACCTCAGAGTGTACTGTAAATTATCTCATTTTTGTTGGTGAAAGCTCAAATCCCACACATCTTTCTAGAATCAAGGGACTGTTCTCAGAATAAATAGGGACCATAGATCCCTATTTAATTGGAGGTGAAGGGGGAATTAGGAGAGTTTGAACTCCTAAGCAGCCAAAACCTTCTAACGTCCAGTCTGCTTTAATCAAAAATAACATGGGCTCTACTTAGAGCTGAGTCATGCTTCTCCCACCAGACTTTGCTTCATCTTAGCTGTGTTGGTGACACCTTTGTGTGTCTGATCATGCATCTTTTTCTTTTCTTTAGTAAAATAAAACAATTGCAACAGAACCATTGTGCTTTCTCATATGCTGCCTGTGCTTCTCGGGATGCGGCTGCCAACAATAACTGCTGCAGTTTGTTTAAAACATCTCTATATCCCTCTGCCTGCCAAGATATTTGAGTCACCAAGCAGTTTGGATTACTGGAGAGACGAGGACTTGGAGACAGATTGTTGGTGATCTTAGACTTTGGGCTCAACTTTGTGATTTTTTTTTTTTGCTTTTACATGCTGTGTAGAAGCAGAGTGGAGATGGGACTGTCGTCAAACTGGGCATTGACTTGGAGACTGTATTTAGATTAAGTAAACCTTGTTTAATAAAGAGGCTGTGATTGTTGTGTCTTTTTGTTGAAGCATGCTTGCCGCTCCTGAGTGAGTCTGGTTGTATCATCGATTACGTAAGCATTCAAGAGAAACGGATAGAGGAGCGCAGATTACAAAGAACATCACTTGTCTGGATGTAAAGGTGAAGTAACAATGGAACACAAAAAGCTTTAAAAGGATAGTTCATGATTTTTGAAGTAAGGCTCCCTTAAAAATGGCATAGGCCACTAACCTCTGACCTCCAGCAGATAATCTCAACTGTCAGTTGAACCTGGAGGCTGAAATTAATGGCTAAACTGATAAGGGGCCAAGATTTTCTACTGTCTGTTAGTCAGTCCTTTTTCAGTCTTATCAATTTTGGCATTTTTCTATTTTATGAACCTTTAGTCCATAAAATAGACTAAATAACAACCATTGGTTGGTTATTTACAGACAGGCTGATAATTATTTACATGGGAAATGAAGGCAGGAGGCAGTGCAGCACCAATGATCTTTCTGTGTTAAACTTGTCCTGTGAGTCTCTTGGGTATCATTTCTTCTTGGGGAGAGTCTGCATAAGCGTTTGCTTTGTTTATGTTTTGTGTATGTTATTTGACTATATTTCACTTCTGCATGTTAAATTGAAAAAAAAAAATATATACAAATGAAGTAAAAAACAAACATGTCCAGTGAATGGTGCGTGTCTGGGTCGCAGTAGCTGATGGAATAAAGCTGTGTCAAAAATATTAGTATTACAACCATTCAAGTAAATGCTGCTTTATTCATTTTTTACATGTGCTGTTCTCAGTTTGTGGTTTATAAAGGAAATCCGGTAGTTGGCCACCACCTTTAATCTTAATTTAATGTGTAAATCTTCATCATCAACTGTTTTTCAATATGTAACACATAGATAACAAGAATAAACACAGAAAAGGTTTTGAAAAAGAAAGAACTACTGTGCTAGATGCAAAATAAATTTAAAGTCAGTGTCAACTAAAACTTGTTTGAAAAGATTTGTCGTCTTTTCATTATTTACACATCTTTTTCACACAAAGTTGGAAGATTCAAAGTAGATGTAAAAAAAAAAACAACCTTTGGATTTAGTAGATTATTTTAAGTAAACATGCTTATTATGCAGAAAATGATCACTTTTTGTCAATCTTGTTTTTACACATTGACACTGAGAGTTTTGTAAGTTGATGTTAGCTGGTGAGTTAGCCAGGCTATCTGCTCTTGTGGCTTAACACACGCATGCTGCTCTAGCCCGTGTGTGTCGACTGTAATTTCAAGCAAGAAATACCCTAAAAACAGCAACAGGTGGTGCTTCTTTAGTTTCCATGCCTCGACTTTATAAACATTTCACTGTGTAGGAGTGACTGCAGTGTGTGCCAGAAAAGGTAAGGGAGGGGTACTGAGGTTTTACTTCCCTCCACATAGCCGGACAAGACTCCAGTCACTCTTGCGTTTTATAAAAATAACTTTTAACAGCGTAAATGGAGGAATATTTTTGTGATTTTGAGAGCATAACTTTTCAATTTATTTTTTGGAATACGTTCTTACCAACCCATCCCTATTTCTCAAATGTTTAACATAACCAGTTAAAACCTGGACACATCTGGC